AAAAAAGAAAAACATGATTTTTGGTCTCAGCATATTGCTCAAATTTTGACATAAATCCCTACACTTTTTTCAATATTTTAGATACTTTTATCCATCTACAATGTTGATCTCTATATTTTCATAGGGATATTGATGTGGCATAAATGGTGTTAATGATATTAACATGTCAATAAACACCATTAATTTTATGCTTACATGCAAACTAATGTTGACATTAATTTTTAATGAGCAAATTTTTTTTTAAAAAAACCTACATTAGATGAAATAAAAATGCTGACATAAATTTTTTAATAACCAAAAAATTTAAAAAAACCCCACATTAGATTAAATAAAGAAGTTGATATGGATTTTTTTAACAAGCAGAAATTAAAAAAAAGCTAACATAAGATGAAATAAAGATGTTAACATGGATTTTTTTAATAAGCAAAAATTTAAAGAGCCCAAGTTAGCATTTTTATTTCATCCGATGTAGGCCTTTTTTTAATTTTTGCTCATTAAAAATTCATGTTAGTATTTATTTGACACACAAGTACAAAATTAACGATGTTAATTGACATGTCGGCATTATTAACATTGATTGTGCCATGTCAACGTTCTTCTAAAAATGTAAGAAATAATATTGTAAATAAAGAAAAGTGTAGGGATTGAAATACAATATATATATATATATATATACACCAATAGTAAAAACTAAAGGGTTAAAGGTTAAAAATATTCCTGAAGTACACATAAAAGATCACAAATGATCCTAAACTCAACTAAGGGTTATTTATATCTCTCAACTCAAAAATTCTTTATTTTATCACTTTACTATTAATTTTTCTGTTGATAGGGCCCACATGTTAATTTTTAAATATTTTTATTATAAAATATTTTAAAGTGGGTCTCACCTTTCATTTTTTAAATATTTCCCCTCCCTCTCTCCTCTCCCTCTCTCTACAACTTGATCCAATCCGTCTTCTTTCTTCTTCATCTTCTTCTTATCTCTTTCTCCTTCTACCTCTCCCCCTTCTCTCTTATCCCTATCTTTACAACTCATCCCATGATAGCAGCCCTATTGATGAAGAAGCATATATAGAGGTAAAGAAGGACAAGACTTGAAACTAGAACCCAGCACCCCTTTTATCATGGATGATCATCACCGTGGTGACATTTTCACTGGCACCCACCTCCAATCTTCCCTTTCCTTTATCACATCACCGACCGGTCGATCAACTGCCTTCAATTTCTCTCTCTCCCTCCTTTATCTCTCCCCCTCCCCTCTTAGTAATCAGCGACCTCTGTCACTAACATGACAAACCCACACTCTCTCTCTCACCCTTCAAAGGTAGGCTTTTAAACTTAACACACACACACACACACACACACACACACACACACACACACAGAGAGAGAGGGAGAGAGAGAGAGAGAGTAGAGGGTTGAAGAAGCTATATGAGAACTAAGCACACAAAATCAATCGTGAAACACACACACACACAGAGTAAAGGGTTGAAGAAGCTATATGAGAACTAAGCACACAAAATCAATCGTGAAACACACACATACACACACACACACACACAGAGAGTAGAGGGTTGAAGAAGCTATATGAGAACTAAGCACATAAAATCAATCGTGAAAGAAGACAAAGCAGTCAGGTAGTGATGAATTGGGCATTAGTGTTACTAAACCGAGACACAAAGTCGTGCATGGACTAAACATGGTGGTAAGCTTCTTAAAGCACACACTTTAACTCATAGAAACTACTCACAAATATGTGCCACTAATAAAGATATAGAGGGAGGGGAGATGAAGATGGAAGGGTAAGAAAGAAAGAGTAAGGAAGGAGAGAGAGGGAGAAACACCATTCAAAGAGAGGTTGAAACTTGAACATGAAGATATCCATTGATAGGGGATGCGGGAGCGAAATCATGCTAATTTAGGAATAGAATCCTTAAACACAACAAAAACACAAAAAAAAAAAGAAAGGGACAAATTTATGAGAAAACAAAGAAAAAGATGAAATAAACAATAGGATAGTGGTAAAAAAAAAAGATCTTCTGAAGTACTTGTCTCTATAAACATTAACCTTTGAAGACATAATAGGAGTTGATTGCATTCTTGATCATGTCTATTTCTCACGTAGGATGCCATCACAAAACACTGAAGCTCATCAGATTTATAAATTTTAAAATAAATAATTTTATTTAAATTTTATTTTTTATTTATAAGAAAGAGCACGCCTAATATATATAGGCTCATAAAGAAAACTATTTCCTAAAATTAAAATTCTAATTTCCTAATACTAAAAGGAAAATAATATAAAATAAAAAAAATATTTAGCCACATAATTTAGAGATGTGATCTTAAAATTATGAGATTATAAAATTTTAAAAAAATATAATTAATCTTAACTTTTAATTGGACTCAAAACAAAAAACTATGACTAGTCATGATCCTTAAGAAGGGAATCAAGTTAAAAGACCACTAAAATAAAAAACAATTAAGGAAACAATTAAGAGATCATAAATGACTTAAAATCATGCCACTCTTAACTTCTTTACCAGAGTCTCATGCTTCCTTGCTTGCAAGAGACTCCACTTATAGTCTTCCTTGCATTAGGCTAGGGTTTACACCTCTTGGGCTTGACTTTTCATGGATTTGAATCTTAAGCATATTATACATGTCTAGATGCTTTCCTTTGGGCTTGAGAGTAGTATCTCAATGCTTTCCAAGCTCTTGAACTTCTTGTACAAAACTAAATAAGGCTTGCTTTTATGGCTTTAGTTTGAGCTCTTGTAATTGGATCTTCAATATGTTGTAAAGGGTTTTTGGGCACATTAGATTGAAAGTGTCGGGCTCCTTGCTCCTTATCTTAGGCTCTTTTCATGCCACCACACTCATGATTGCCATCTTCAAGCTTCATTGCCATTAATGCCATGGGGTCCATCATCCATCATGTTCATGTTTAAAGATGCAAGCAACTTCTACATTTTCACATTCAAAGGCATCAACTTAGAGATGCAAGTAACGCCATTCAAAGAGAGGTTGAACAAAGAGAAGGATAGCATGGCAGTGCTAATTTTAGTGTTTTCATTTTTGGATTTAAGAGTAGGGAACGTGAGGTTCAAGGAAAGGTTAGACCAGCTAAGAGTGAAGGTTTTGAGGGTGTTTAATATGCACGATATTGTGCCCAGTTAAACCGTCAAAGCTTGCCATTTCCAAAGCTCGTCATCATGATTTTCTGGTGTTGAATCAAGCCAAGAGAGAGGAGAGAGAGGAGAGGAGGGAGATAAAAAATAATGCAGGGCCCATAAATAATATTTTATAATAAAAAATGTTAACAAAGTCACATGTGGGCCCACTAATAAGGAAATGACAGGGTAATAAAATAAAGAATCTTTAAAGTTTAGGAATATAAGTGATCTTTTATTGAGTTTAGGGTTGACCATGATCTTTTGCGTTTAGTCCATGCATAAAATTGACCCTTAATTTAAAACTAAACAAATTGTAAGCACAAAAATAAAGTTAGTAATTTGAGCCAAACTCGATGAGTTAGCCTGAACTAGCCCAAAAAATTTCGAACCAAGCCTAAACAAATAATATTTTTTATTATTCAGGCCTATTCGAATGGCCTGAATAAGCCCGAAAAATTCAGTTTGGGTTTGGCCCAGATACTTGAATAAATTTCTTTAAAAAAATATAAAATATGATAAATATTAATTAATTTTTCAGGTTTATATTATTTTATACCAAAATACTATATATTTGAGTGTATTAATATGGTTATTTAAAAAAATAGTTACATCTTCATATTTTTATTATTTTTAATCAATAAAATATCTCAAAAATAATATTAAACTATATTTTAATATTGTTTTTTATATTTTAAGATGTAATTTTTTTAAGAAAATTTTCGAGCCCTATAAATAACATGTGTATAAAAAATTAATTTTATATTTTTTACAAATTAAGATAATTAATTTTAAAGTAAAAATAAAATTAAAAATAATTTTAATAAAAATTTAGGTATGTACGAATTTTTGACTCTACTACTAGATAAACATAATAAATAGAATAATATTTTTAAATAATTACTTAATTATTTTTCATGTTAGATTTAGTTAAAAATTGAGAATAAATTAGAGAAAAAATCTCTTATACGTAAGAGTTAAATAATATAAAAAGTTAAAGAAAAATAATCTTTAAAAAATAATATTTTACTCATAATTAAATAATTTTACTTTTTATAATATAATGACAGCTTTTTTTTTATATTCATAAAAATGAAGGGTATAATTTATCCAAAATTTATTAAAAATTTTGAACTAATCAAAAAAATAATTTTAAATTAGTAATTTAATTGTGATTAAATTGAGATTAATTGAATCATAATTGAAATAATATAATTTAATTAAAATATATAAAAAATTTATATATGATTATAATAAGAGCAATATTTAAATAATTAAGATATTAATTTACAAGTAAAAAAATATTTATAAATAAATCATACATAATACAACAAAACAATAACAGAGATACTTAAATATAAAGTTAATAAATTATTTTTTATTTTATTTTTTAAAATTAAAATAATATTTTATGTTTAATATAATTATTTAAAAATTAAAATTAATTTAAAAAATAAAAAATATTTTTTAAAAAATTTTGAGCATTCGGGGTAATTCAAATAAACCCGAAACCTAAAAATGTTAAGACCAAATTTAATTATATGAGTTTTAAAAAAAAAAATAAGATACTTAAACTCAATTTAAATAAATACGACTTGTACCAACTCCAAATAAAAAGTAGCTTTTTCGACACTACGGACTCTTGAGGCACGTGGAATCACGCTCTGACTCTACTCCCTTAACTGACAGCGTGGCATAACTGATTGGCAAGTGCCCCCTACGCGTACAAGATAGCGTGATTGATGGTATTCGGTCATCTCATATCTATAAATAATATTTTACAGGAGAAGCTCGGACATCGCATTGGCCCTCCGCACTTGTAAGTCGTAATACAATCAAAACACATCCCCCCCCCCCAAAAAAAACCAAAAAAAAAAATTTGTCCGTTGGGAAAGTTTTTAGACTTGAAGGGGAATTGGGCAGACTGCTTCGATGGCGAATGTTGCAGAGGAAGCAGAAACCGAACCCACTTCACTGAGGCAGGCACAATCTTCTTCTTACTTGTTACTGCTAAGAATTATGAGCAAAAGGAGAACCTGGGTATGTATTTTCGTGCTTGTCTATGGCATTCTTTTGATTTCTTCTTGGAATTTCCTCAAATCCATGCTGTCTTGGTACAATTTGCGAGCTCAATCATCTACCGCATCTCCGTGGCCTGCCCTGTATGTTTCGGTGCTTCTCGGGTTTGTGTTTGGGGTGCTTTCGATGTTCGCGGCTCTGGCTGTGGTGGTTCCGGCGGTTCTGGTGACGTGGATCACCATCATCGTTTTGCTGGCTTTCTTTGGGAAGCCTAGGAGGGCTTTGGTGGTGGAAGGGAGGAAGATTACGCGGGAAATTTTTAGTTTTGTGATTAAGATTTTGTTGAAGGAAGGGAATGCTGTGGCTGCTGTATGTGCTGTTTTGGGGTATTTTGCTCTGGTCAGAAGGAATAGTAGTGAAGGCGGTACTCTTGATAGAATTGGGTGATGGATTTGGTGTTCGATGGGTTTGATATGGGTCTCAATATAGGCATCATATGGTTGGAATTCTAAGTTTTGGGTTTAGGTGGGTAAAATTGTAAATAAGAAGGAAGGGTGGTCAATGTTAGTGTGTGCTTTGGCAATTCGTTAACTATACGACATCTTATCTTTTGCGTTGCTGTTTATATTATAATAGCCTATGATTCTATTTATATCTTCTGCATATAAGTTTTTCTGCAGTGTTTGTTAGCTCCACTTAGCTATTGTGGCTCATCCTTATCCTATGTGTCATGTTTGACTTGTAGTCTTGTGCAGCAAGTTTATGTAGTTTAAGCTTTTGAACCTAGGAGACTTGAGGAGAAGATTAAGGAGTTGAAATTAATCAGTGCGCAAAGGGAAGTTGAATACTTGGTACACTATCTAAGCTCTTGAAAAAGCAAAACCATGTGCAAAAGACTATGGCGGCTTATCTTTTATGTTTAGCCCACAGGTATATTTTGGCTTGATGATAATGCCTCACTTTTTGTAGTAAGTGTTGGAATATCCTTGAGAAGGGTTTCTGCTACATGCAGGTCAATGAACTTGCTTTTGAAGATATAAGCTAGTCATCAATTGCCTGAGATGTTTTCTCTCGTTAGTGACTCTAGTCATGAGGTGAGTTTAAGATAATGGTAATGCTACAGAGAATTCAGATTATTTAGTTGTTGAATGTTTTCAATATTTATTGAAGGTAAATCTATATTCAATATAATCAATTTTGAAATGGTTCAACATGGAGCTCTCTGTTTCTCTATTCTATGTTGAATTGGATACTTGGTAGATTACTCAAGAATGACAGGATCTATTTTTCTTTACTTCTTTGGTTAATAAACAACTTTTTTTTTTTGGATGAAAAGGTTAATAAGCACTTGCGTCTGGTGAACTAAAACTGTACATTGCATTATCATTTGTTGCTTATAGACTCGTCTATCATCCTTGGTTAGGATCTGAGAAAAATGTATGCCTCAGAAGTTTGGAAGCCTAAAATAAATCTTGAATAAACTACATGCTTAAAGTTTGAAACTTTGGTCATTTTTGTATTAAATAAATTTGGCAAACCGGGTACTTGATTCCTCATGTTTCACTCTGTTCTTCCAAGATTACATTAGTTTAAAAGTGTTTCGAAACAGGAAAAAAAGGTTAGTATCATCTTTTTTCCCTTCACCGAAAGTGGAGTAATGAAGCGTAGGATAAGGAACTTGAGTGTAATGAGTGAAGAAGGGGTTGCACTAAAGACCCGCAACGACAAAAAATAATGATGGGCGGTCAAAACCAAAGATTGCACTGCCATTGTCACGGGAAAAGAGTCGAAAACAACATTGTTGGTCTTACAATGCCCCCTATTGCCAGGTGAAATAGTTATATTTGAATTCAGTTGCAGAACAAAGAAAGAGGAAGACTTTGTATATAGGACCCACCATACCAGGCAAATGTGCCAACTGTTATTATGGTGATGGTGATGGTGATCTGTGCCTCTTGACCTTACCGCAACGATTGCTCAATAAACAAGTGCCTTTTTTAATGGGTTAAAGGGGAAAATGTTTTGAAGTTTTTTTCACGAGGGGCTCCTGATATTTTAAAATTTTTTGAAAACAATTTTGTTCCAAAACTTTTAAAAAAGGGTGCAATATTGCCTTATGGTTAAATATGAAAAACATTGACTGTTAAAATGAAGTTCGACTGAGATGTTTTGCTACTTTAACTCTCCTTCTTCCTTCTGCATTTTCAATCTTGTTAAATTGAAGAACATGATCAGATGAAAGCATCAAGCCCCTTCCTCTTAGGTACTCGAATTGCATCTAACAAAAAATTGTTTCATCTCTTGGACTAGAAATTAATGGAAGAATGTTCACTTGACCAAGCTTACATTCATCAGCCAAAACTAATATCCCCCTAAGCAAGAGTCCAACACTACTGAAATTCCTTTCAAACTTCGAAAATCACAAAAACAGACAAAATGCCACGAGAGCTCCAGCAATAATCAATCTCAACTTTTTTATTTTATCCGTTTTGAAAAGAAGGGAATGATCTTGATAACAAAAACTGATTATACGAGGAAACAACAAATACATAACAAGAATTACATGGCCAAACAAAGGAGGAGTTATCTACTTGAAGGAGCAACCCACCTAAACTCAAGCACACAAAATTGCATAGACCTTCAGACCTAGACTCGATCACGCATCCAACGGACCTAGACTCAAACTCGAGCACGTGAACGAAATGAAATGAAGCCGAAGGATCTCAGCAAGCAAAAAAGGATGAACTGTAAAAATTTATCATGCATCCCACCAAGGGTGGAACCAGACTCATGAATGAGGGGGGCCAAATTTTTTATAAACTAAATATGTTTGTATATATAATTTTTTAAATATTTATTTTAATTTTTTTGAAATAAATTTATAAGTTAAAAATGTTTATATTGTAGATAAGTTTTCATCTGTCTTTACATATTGATGTTTTAAACAAAAATTTAGGATAGATAATAATAAAGTTTAAAAAAAAAACAATACATGCATTGAAAATTGAATGTTTGACAAATTTAAATCATTATTTACTGATATTGTGTTCAAATTTGAGTAACAAAGACATTAAATTCATACTTATGCAAATAGATAATTTGCATGATAATTAATTTAAGACTATTTAATTAAAAAAAATTAACATGTATGTATATGTTATAAATAGTAGTATTTTTTTGTTAATAAAAAAATTAATGCCAAAAAACAACTAAATATAATATATTTTGTTTCCATCACAGTTCCGGCAAAACAAAAACAAAAATAAAATAACACAGTAACACACATATAACAAATTGTGTTGGTGTCGTTTACTGGATATATATATATATATATATATATATATATAAATCCATAGGTCCCACATGTTTATTGTCGCCTTCGCTCCGTTTGCCTCCTCCGTCGTTCCTATGTATGCTATCGTGTGCGGCGCCCATAGCCCGATCTTGATCTCCTAGTCTCCTTAATCCCACGCCATCTTATATTTCCTTAATCCAAGGAAAAATTTAAAGTGTAGGAGAAGAAGGAGACAGGGACTCAGTCATGATTTGAATTTTGATTGAAGAATTGGCAAATATTAAATTTAGATGCCTCTTTTATGGAGATTTAAATATTATTCATCACATTGTATGAACTTTTTTTTTTTTTCTAAACTCAATTCTCGTTGGTAGAAGTAGAAGTAGAGTACATTTTACTCATTTTGCAGCCATTCTTTTTTCAGAAAATGAGCTGTAAGTATTATTTCATTACATCTAATTGATTGTCAAAGTTAAAAGAAAAAAAAAAGAGACCAATTATTCGAATTACTGGTTAGATAATAGTCAAGCATGGTTGAATTGGTTGCCAATAACAAAAATATTAAAAATCGATTTCAAATAAATAACAATAAAAGAAGAAAAAATTAAAGTGGGTAGAGATAAAAAGTAAAATTATAATTTTAAAATTTAATAAATTTTATATAATGTTAAAAATAAAATAATTGTGATATCTAAGATATTTATATCGTGTATATATTATTCTTTATAATCCATAGTTATATAATATATATGTGTGTGTGTGTGTGTGGTTGTATGTACGTATATACATGTATGTATTACTTGTTCATTTGCTCCTTAGTCTTCTATTTGAAGTATTTTAGGTTCCGTTTGATTATTAAAAATGATTGAAATTAAATAAATTGAAAAAGTAAAGGTTAAAAAAAGATAATTAAAAAGAATAGATGAACTATATTTATAAAAAAGAGGGCTTGGATTAGAAATCATGATTTATAAAATTTTTGAAAGGAGTGATAATTTTTATATTTTTATTTTGTTTTAAAACAAAATAAAATAAAAATTCATTTGGTTATATTAATTATAAAAAAATTATAAAATTAAAAAATAAATTGATAGTAATAGTTATAGACAATTAATGGTGATGATTAATAATAAAAATGGATCAAGGTAACTATAATTTTTAATAATCAAATTTAGTGTATCTTAAAAATAAGAAAAATAAAATGAAAAAAATTAAAAATTATTTTTATTTTTATTTTTTTGTTTTTAAAAACAACAAATGAAAACAGTTTTAAAAACAACTGAATTAAAAAATTTATCCAAATAAAATTTAAATTTTTTTATTTTCAAAATCTGAGAAAAGTTTTAAAAAAAAAGAAAACAAATAGGTCTTTAATTCATTTTTGTTTTGATTTTTTTAATCTATTTTATTTCATTTTTTTTGGTAATCAAATGGGATCTTAAGATATGGACTTGCATAAGCCACCACTTATAAATATTGTTTAAATTTTAGAAATATTGGTTTGAACCAATACAATCACCAAATTTTCACGTTTTGACTAATTTTGACCTTTTTTTTTTGTATATTCAATTTTTGACCGATTTTATTAGTTCTTGACTAGTTTCTTTTGCAATGGTTTATTCCATTACGTGAAAGAACCTGCTCATGACCTCTTCACTGTTTTTTGTTTTTTGTTTTTGCATGCTTGGCTAGTTTATAGTTTTTATTATCATATTAATTATACTTTTTTCTCATCACAAGTTTTTTTCTTCTCATTTCCCTTAACAACAAGCTGCTGCTGGAGTGGTTGAAAAATGAATTGCCCATGAACTATATATTCACTACCAAAAAGATTTAGAATTTTGAAAAGACAGAAAAAGGAGAAAATATATTTTTAAGTCTTTAATATGCGCCAAATTAAAAAGTCAATGGAAAATTAAGCCAAAAGAAAGGAAAAAAAAAGTCGTAACATGCACGTGTCTCATAATAGGGACGAATTTGACCATTGAATACAGGATTCCGGCTCCAGCATAATAATACTCAACAAAAATTTTGGAAAATAGTATTCAAAACACTCCTTAGCAAATCTCTAGTTGGTCTCTAAAACACAATAATCCCTTTCCCCCAATTTAGAGGGTTATCGTGTGCTAAATGCCAAGAGTTAATAATCATTTACTCTGCAAGCCCCTAGCTGCATGGGTGTAAAAAGGAAGTTAATTAATTAATTATTATTACTGAATATATAATGTATATCAAGAGCATGTACCATATCATTGTGTCATTTGATTTTGCATGCATATGATTAACTTTTTTAAGAACAAGAAAGGAATGATTCTTATATTGGTATGAGAAAAATGATTTCCAAGTAATTAACCTTTTTGTTAGAGAATCCATCTAGAGAGACTACTATCAGTGTGGTTGGTTCTGGGCTATATGTCACGGGCTGAGAGTCTGGCGCAGCACACGGCGCCCGTGCGGTGTCCTGAAAGATCCCATAATCCTCAGGACAAGCCTTACCATGTACGGATCACACTAGTTTCGCCCTGCCATGGGCTCATCAGGGAGGCGGCACTAGCCCCCAACCAGTTGTGCACACAGTCCGAAGACTGAGGCAGAACACCCCCAATGCCAATGTCGCCCCCTTTACCCATATTGTGCGAGGCTAACCAGCGGACCGTTCATTACATTGGTCTTTACACGGTCACGGAGATATCATCCGTGACATTCTCCCACACCCAATCTAGCACGCCCTCGTGCTAGGGGAGAACGACTCCGCCCAAGGATCGTACGTACAGTACTGCCACAAACACATCAGCTTACTGCTGAGTGGCCACCCGAGTCCTGCACTCTTCGGACCCACTCGCACCTGCGAGCTAACAGGAGTGGAGTCGACAACGGCCAACCTTCCCGCCCGAGCCCCCTCTTTTGGACCCATCTGCTCGGAGGCCTTTCTGGAGCGGTGCCGAGGTCGACCAGTCCCAACGTGGGACCCCATGCGCACACGGTAGTAAAGTACGTCCCGCTCTGATACCACTCTGTCACGGGCTGAGAGTCTGGCGCAGCACACGGCGCCCGTGCGGCGTCCTGGAGGACCCCATAATCCTCAGGACAAGCCTTACCACATACCGATACACTGGTTTCGCCCTGCCATGGGCTCATCAGGGAGGCGGCACTAGCCCCCGACCAGTTGTGCACACAGTCCGAAGACTGAGGCAGAACACCCCCAATGCTAATGTCGCCCTCTTTACCCATATTGTGCGAGGCTAACCAGCGGATCGTTCATTACATTGGTCTTTACACGATCACGGAGATATCATCCGTGACATTCTCCCACACCCAATCTAGCACGCCCTCGTGCTAGGGGAGAACGACTCCGCCCAAGGATCGTACGTACAGTACTGCCACAAACACATCAGCTTACTGCTGAGTGGCCACCCGAGTCTTGTACTCTTCGGACCCACTCGCACCCGCGAGCCAACAGGAGTGGAGTAGACAACGGCCAACCTTCCCGCCCGAGTCCCCACTTTTGGACCCACCTGCTCGGAGGCCTTTCTGGAGCGGTACCGAGGCCGACCAGTCCCAACGTGGGACCCCACGCGCACACGACAGTAAAGTACGTCCTGCTCTGATACCACTCTGTCACGGGCTGAGAGTCTGGCGCAGCACACGGCCCCCGTGCGGCGTCCTGAAAGACCCCATAATCCTCAGGACAAGCCTTACCACGTACGGATCACACTGGTTTCGCCCTGCCATGGGCTCATCAGGGAGGCGGCATTAGCCCCCCACCAGAGAATGTCACGGAAATACCAGTTGTGCACACAGTCCGAAGACTAAGGCAGAACACCCCCAATGCCAATGTCACCCCCTTTACCCATATTGTGCGAGGCTAACCAGCGGACCGTTCATTACATTGGTCTTTACACGGTCACGGAGATATCATCCGTGACACATAGGTTCCTTGAGAAGTGCCAAGTGATACATCAGTGTCATTCATTGGCCCACAGATTATAAAGATCACCCAACAATGGAGATTGAGAATGATACTCTGCTTCCCAAATAATTGCGCTTTGCTGTGTCAATTATCTGAACTTAATCCTGTTTTTACGTGTACTAAATTAAAACTTTCAGCAAATCACTTCATATAGGATACCCCTGTTCTTTATTCTTTTTTTCCTTTAAACTAATCCTAATCCATTGCAGATAGTTAGAGGCCACTTTGGATATGTGTGTGTGTGTGTGTTTTTTTTTTTTTTTTAAGAATCAATTATGAGATTTAAAGCCCTGGTTTTGGAGAAAGTAATCTAAACTTTCCAATTTTCTTAAATTTCATTTAATTTCTAAAACTCCATTTTACATAAACTAGACAAACACTCCTAATTTTTCTAAACTTTATTGGATTTTTGAAATTTCATTATGTAAAAGCTAATTTTCCTTCTATTTGGTAAATCAGTTTTACAAAATCGACTGTAAAAAATATTATTCAAATATCATCAAGTTATGTTAATTAATTTTTTGTAATTAACTTTTTTTCATTTGAAATTCAAATAAACCCTTGAAGTAGGCCCACCTGTTATGTCCACAGGGTGTGGTTTCATATTAAAATATGTAGTTGGTAAACAATGGGGTTTATTCTGGTACAATTCCGTTTATTTGTTGTGCAATTGATATTATATAATTTATCAAACCCTTAATTAATAATGCAATTGGCAAACTTGGTCTGAAATCTTAATTAGCAGAATATTTCCGACAGGTGCTTAAAATCATCTTTAATGCCGAACCGGACGCAGGGGCCACGTTGCGAGCGAGTTTTGTAAATTTAATTTTTATATTGTTGATTTTTCCCCATTTGGTAAACAGTATCGGGAATGGCGGAGTGCGTCATCGGGATGGCCCATAATTCTGGAAACTGAACACTGAACAGAACTGGAATATTGCGGCCGAAGTATGAAAACAAAGGCTTGGAGTCTTCGTCTGGACTACATCTTCCAGCATTCAATTACCGAACAGACTGAAACAAACGTTTCACCTCACGTTCAAGATCTCTGCTTTATTTTCAACCCATATCATCTTTATTTTTGACCCTTTTGAAGGAAGGCTCGTTATTCTTTTGTCTTTCTTCCTCGTCGTGGTTTAATTTAAGCCTTCTCATTTCATGTTTGCCATAATCAGCTTGCCCTATAAATTCTCTAACTGCATCCCAGTACAGCAATTTACAACTCTGTCAAATTTGGGGGGTGCTTGGTGAATTCTAACAGGGGTCGGTGACCTTCTCATCTAAAGCCACTAACCTGGTGGAGTTCTTGAATACAGAGCCGCGACGGTATCTGGAAATCTCTGCAGGTCGTTAAATTTCGTTGGTTTTCATCTGCAATTTTGTAGTTTTGTACGATAAATATATAAAGAAGAATGTCGGCGGGAAGTGCGCTGTATTACCCTATTCTTGGTTTTGCATCGTTTATTCTTTTCATTTACATGCCTTTCCGTGACTTGAAGCTCGGTTTTGATGAAGAGCCTCAATTGGCTTTTGTGACAAGAAACGGAACTCAATTTGTGTTGGATGGCGAAGTTTTCTACATAAACGGGTGGAATTCTTACTGGTTAATGGCTCAATCTGTTGACGAATTTTCCAGACACAGAGTCGGGGAAATACTGCAAAACGGCGCGAAGATGGGTCTAAGCGTTTGTAGAACTTGGGCATTCAATGACGGCGATTACAATGCCCTTCAGACTTCCCCTGGTCAGTTCAATGAACAAGTTTTTAAGGTAATGTTCTTTTCGTGTGTGTGTGTGTGTGTGTCATGATCTCATACTTCTGTTGTATGCTGCTTCTAGAATTTGTCCTCTTCGTGTTTTGGTGCCTTTTTTTAATAGGGTTGATGTCAGTAACCAGATTGAGGTTGTCTCTCCGTTTTTTTTTTTTTGGTGGCTGTTAATTCCTTCATCCCCTACTTTCAGTTTGTGTAAATTAATCATGCTATGCGTACAGTTTGTGTAGATTGAGGGTGTTGTTTCAGAGCCAAATGATGTAATCATGTTAATGGAGAGACCGTAGTTTGTTCCTGAGAAGGCAAAACATCAGTGCGATGGAATACGGGGAGGAAAAATTTTAGGATCTTTTATCATTATTTTATTTATGCCTCTGTTTCCAATTGCCAGATGAGTAAACATGAAATGTTCTGGAGTTGCGTTTATTCATCTTTCTTGCTCCTCCGCAGTAGATTAATTATCCTTAATCCACCAACTGAATTCCTGGATGTTGTCCCCAAAATTGTTGGGTTTTCAGTCAAAACTGGTTTTGGGGCAATGTGCCAAAATCAAAATGTTTATTAGGGATGCAACACATGCTTACATTTTGCAGATTTTCTGGACGTGCATTTGTGTTATAGAAATCTATGATAGTTGCTGTGGAGATTCATATTTGATACTGGTAGAAAATGAGAAATGCTTTCTATTGCGATGCTGGTGATTATTTGGGCCCATGTAAGAAAGTTAACATTATTTTCTGATTAATCAAAACTTTGCTGAGAATGGTTCGCAGGCCTTGGATTTTGTCATAGCAGAAGCAAGGCAACATGGAATAAGGCTGCTTCTTAGCTTGGTTAATAACTTGCAACCATATGGCGGGAAGACCCAGTATGTCAACTGGGCATGGCAAGAAGGGATTGGGTTAAGCTCGTCTAATGATTCTTTCTTCTTTGACCCATCCATACGTAATTATTTCAAGAACTATATCAAGGTATTGGACCTGTCCGTTATTCTTTTCTTATTGACTTGGGGGAGGGGGGAGTTGGGCGGTATGTGCAGGGGTGGAACGAGACAAGATCCCCCCCCTTTTTTGAATATGCAACATATTTCCACGCCTGTGCATGCATCGAGCATTCATTTGTTTGGAATATAATGTCAACCCTGATGGTTTTTCTTATTTGTAATCCAGAGGTGTAAACCATGGTAACTAAGTTCTTATTATCAATGTTATTGTGTTTAGTTTTGGCTGAAAAGGACCACGTTTTGTGTCAAAAGAAATGCCTTTTCTTGTCATTTGCCAATGATAATTTGTGTCATGAAAAATTGTATAGAATTAGAAACCATGTCAAGTAGATTGCATGTTTCTCTCTGCTGGCTATTCCTGTTGTTTGGCAAATGGGTGGCACTTATAGCTTACTCATTTTTCTCAGAACTGAACCATATTGTCAAGTGTTCAGAAGTTTAGCCGGGTAATGGTATCTTGAACTAGAAATTTTCTATCATTGCACTAAATGCTGAACCATCCAAATTTCTCCTAATAATAAAGTAGTGTTGAATCATGAAGATTGTATCTCCTATCTCAAACAAGTCAAAAAGGATATTATCCATGGTCTTCCATTTCATGCTAATTGCATCACCGGTTCTCACTGCTTCTTATTTGGCTGGACATCCAAATTTTGGATCATTGTTTCCAAATCTTGAGAGTTGAGACTGTGCTTTACATAAACTCAGTTTCGTTAGCATTTTTTCTGCAGACTGTCCTGACAAGGAAAAATACTATCACTGGAATTGAATATAGAAATGATCCCATCATATTTGGTTGGGAGTTGATTAATGAGCCTCGTTGCATGTCTGATCCTTCAGGTGACACTCTTCAAGTAAGTGCTATATCTGAGTTTTAAGTTTAAACCTCTTTTGACCTTGAGTATTTCTAGATGAATCATCAAATATTAAATACTAATTTGAAGTTAAAACTTAATCTTGATCATTCCCCCCATTTTTAGTAATTGCGTGTTGTAACATGATTGGTTCATGCTTGTTGGAGAAAGTAGTTCACTTTTCTATTTTTCTTTCCTCAATTTCATGGTTTAGTGAAAAATTCTTATGATCTCTGTGAACACTTTCCTGGTTATTGCCTCATGACAGCAGAAGCTTCCTGACAAGTGCTACGCTAAATTTGAGATTAAGGATTACTGTTCAGTAATTGCATACCCATTTTTCTGAGACCGTCATGAATCAATTTGAATGTCCTAACACAAGATGATTATAGAACAGAAGGCAAAATGGTTTTAAGCCTGTAACATGAGTATTTAAAGTCTATTAATATTTAGCTTTTACTGTTCCATATAAATTCAAAGTAACTAGTGAACAATGGAGCCTTTACTTTCATGCTGTGGTTTGGAAAAGGAGTAGAATAAGAATAGTTTAGCTGCTGCTTGCGTGGATATCCAGGCATACCTTAATTGACTTGGAATTGCAGGAATGGATAGAAGAAATGTCAACTTTTGTCAAAGCGATTGACAAGAACCACCTGGTGACTGTTGGGCTCGAGGGTTTTTATGGTCCTAATGACCCAAAAAGGTTGACTGTCAACCCTGAGGAGTGGGCATCAAAACTCGGATCTGATTTTATTCGCCATTCCAAAGCCTCAAATATTGATTTCACATCAGTTCATATTTATCCTGACCAATGGTAAGCTTTGTATGATTTCTAAATCTGTAGTTTGGGTATTGCTATAAGTCACAAAGATAAGTGGAACTTACTTTTAGAACTATTAGTTCCCGAGCACTGCGACCTGGAAGGTCCACCGTGGAGGATGTTGGCTTTAAGTTTCTTTTGATTTCGTTTTAAGTGATCAGCTGTCTTAAAGAGAGTTCTATTGAAAATTATATTTTTGCCCTTTATGGTTGGCGTCCTGATTTGAATTCTGAAATATACATCCAAAGTTTCTCATGATGTCACGTAGTGTTCTCTTTTTACCGTGACCCTGTGCTGCTGATTCTTTTATATATATATATATATATATATATATTTATTATGTAGGTTTCATGATCAAGTATTTGAAGACCAACTGAAGTTTGTGTCCAAGTGGATGCTTTCTCACATGGAAGATGGTGACAAAATATTGAAGCATCCCGTCTTGTTCTCTGAATATGGCTGGTCAGATATGAACAAGAACTTCTCAACATCTGAGAGAGAAATGATGTATAAAACCATTTTAAATATAATCTACAAATCTGCCAAGAAAAAGAGGTCTGGAGCAGGTGCTTTAGTCTGGCAATTCCTAGTCACAGGAATAGAGGAGTTTGGAGATGATTTTACGTTGATACCCAGTGAAAATTCATCGATCTATTCACTTTTTGTCAAACAATCATGCAGATTGGCCAAAATCAAGTGGCGCACTCAGCAGAACCGAAGCTTCAGAGAGTTGTGTTAGCCATAGAAAAATCAAGTTTTAATACTGTGGAAGCGAAGCCAAGATTTAAAAAAAATGGCTAGTTTTATAATAACCTTATATTCCTTCACCGATGTTGAATTCGAGTGATTAGTATACATTTTTTTTTTTTTTGGTGAATCGAGTGATTAGTCGTTTACAGTATTTTTGTGGTAGCACGTATAACAGATTCTTAAATAATGTTTGCTTCTGTAAAGCTTGTTCCCTGATAAAACAAAATCTACAAGGAAAATGAGTTTAAAGGTTATAGGGAATGCCTTTGAATCCGAATCGTTGATATTGTAGAATTTATTTATCCCAAGGTTTATTTGTGAATAATCAACTCATTACCAGCTTCTTTGCTATTTGCTTTCATATCGCCAGGGCCGTTCTTCGTGTATGTTTCTCTTTTCTGGACAATTCAACTGATCATTTAATTATCGATGACCAAGTTTTATCGCTTCTTTTGCGTCAGTGATGTTTGGGCGAAGTAAAGAGCTTGGCATCCTGCACAAGCAAATGATAGTCACTGAGGTCTGGCAAAGTTAACGAGTTTTATGAATTTATCTCCGAGAGCATTCCAAGAAAATTATTAGCACGAAAATTTTATTACTTGATTGTTCAAGAACAGTGCCAATAAATTATGTGGATTATGAGATCCAGGTGCAAGAAATGGATCTACAGTTGTTGCTAGCAAGCGATCTATTAGCCGTCAGCTTTCCGAGACACTGCCAGAACATTACAGTGAGGAGCTCGCAGCCAAACTTCTAATCGTAAAAGATATCCTATGAGAATAAAATGCACACATCCAGGCAGAGAAAGTCGAACCTCTCAAAAAGATTATCAACATCATACAAGAGAAATTTGAGATTCTGGATTCCGTATAAAATCAAGCCAGTTGTACGAACCTAAAAGCAGCACCATTACAAAATTACAAAAAGAGAAATGAATTAAAGCATTGCTTTCTAGTTCCTATTAGCAAAAGAAGGCAAATTAAGCTGCAGAATTTCCAATACGCAGCTAACTGGATCTACGGCTTGACAATCTTGGGGAAGTTCTAACCCTGTTGCCAGGAACAGGGCTATTATCTACTTGACTCTTGTTAGTGTTCTTCTCAGCCTTCTTTCCTTTCGAATTCGATTTGCTCGCCTCTACAACCTCCTTCATTGCAACATCATCAGCATTATCACCTCCTTTTTCCAATCTCCGACTGCGGGTCCGCAACGCCATTGAGTCCGATCTGTCCGGAGAACTTTTCAATGGGCTCCCCGTTTTACCCCTATCATTCCCAGAATCAGACATGCAATTCCTCTCACTTGCCAAAGCCACCTTATCAAAATCATCGCCAAGCTTCTTCACCAGCCTTCTACGAACCTTACGATTCACTATTTCAACCTCCCCCTCCCCTGGAATTTCCCCCTCCCCTGGAATTTCCCCCTCCCCCTCGTTATCCTCCTCAATCATAGCCAGGAATCTTCGTCGCTTTGCCGGGACGGGAGCCGGTGGTGGTGAAACCGGGGATGCTCTTTTACCACCGACGACGTTCTCGCTTTTGGGTCCAAAAGGAATCGATGCGGCAACAGGGCTGCGATTCAGCTTCTTGAAGAGCTTTTCACGTTCGGCACGGAGCTTGTTGACGTTGCCCTCGATCTTTCCCTGGAGGCGTAAGCGCTTGAGGCTGAGACCTCCCATGGACCAGTGAGCTTCGTTGGCCCAGGACATAAACGGATCAGCAACTGGTACTGGAGGATCAACCCGGTGATCGTTAAATTTGACGTCGTTGTAGATCCGTGGCCGAGGAAGGCTGGTGCCGTAGAATTTGCCGGGACCAAGAGAGACCACCATTGTTGGCAATAGAGAATCTGGAGAAAAGTAAGAGAATGAAGAAGCAAAGTAAGAAGATTTAGTGAGATGAAGCATGGGTTTGGGTAGGTAGGGATTATATACAAGTTCGCCAGGGGCGGGCAGAATTCGGCGGGAACGATGCTATTGGCGCGAGGAGTTGGCGCCTCAAGCCGCGGTGAAAAAATTGAAGTTTTATGATGAGCTTGGGCTTTTGGTTCTTGCATGGGGACTGGAATTGAACCCCGCAATGCCATTTGCTTTTTAGGCCGCTGGGTTCCAGGGTGTCAAACGACTAGCTTTTGTGTCAACTCTGGTGGATCTCTATCCCAAAAAAAAAAAAAAAAATTCTCGTGGATGTCACATTTTATAATGTCCAATGCCAATGCAAAGTTTAAGAACCATTGAAAGCTGCACATTTTTTTGCTTCAGTTCTTATGCATTTTTGATATGTTCAATGTTTATCTACATATCATATTGATTTCTGTTTAACTTTGTTTTTTACTTCTTTAATATTTTGTTACATATTTTAATAGAATTGAAATTCAAATGTTAAAAAAGTATAATCTTTTATACATTTAAAGTCATCATTTTTCCTCGTGCATGGTATGATAAAAGAATTGAAGAAACACTACTTAGTTGCTGGTATAAAGAGATTAAGAGACTTTCCAAACTGCTATTTTTACAGGAAGTTTTTATAATTTCATGATATGTTCTTATAAATGCTTGTAGCTAATGTGATTATCAAAAAATCCTTGCGAACAAAAAAAAAAAGAACTTTCACCAAATGTTTTACAATGTCGTTGAGTTCAAGCTCCCTATCAATTTCACTCAAACAAGCCAATTCATCAATAGGCCGAACAACAACCATCAATATTATTAGAATTACATAATTCTAATAAACTTGAAAAGTTTTTAAAGAATTATAGAAGACTCAAAATTATTTAAAAAAAACTGCAGCATTTAGAGTTTAAAAATCAAGATTAAAATATATTTTCAAGCCAATTATAAAATCTTTTACATATTAAAAATTATATGAATATAATATGAATTTTTTTATTTTTAATAACATATCTATAACATTATACCCTTATATACGTATAAAATGGACTAAGTTTTAAAATATTAAATAATATATAATATATTTTAAAAAAATAAGTGCGTTGTGAATAAAGTACACACCATCTCCGTATGGTACAGCTATACCCACCCCCCCCCCAAAAAAAAAAAACTCCGTCAGATCCAGAAGAAAAAAAAAAACTCCCACTCAACTCAACGCCTCAACCATGTTTAATGGTCAATTCTCTTTCCGTAGGGAGAAAAGATTACCCAAAAACAAAAACAAAAAAAAAAAGAAAAAGAAAACTTTCAATCCGACCTCCTACTAATTACTCAAGGTCCAAACATGTTTCATTTCATTTTTGGAGAATTACTTTAAAGTCTCACATAATATAATAAATACTACAAGATTATCCATGTTTAATCGTCAATTCTCTTTCCATAGGGAGGAAAGATTACCCAAAAACCAACAAAAAAAAAAACAAAAGAAAACTTTCAATCCATCCTCCTACAAATCACTCAAGATCCAAACATGTTTCATTTCATTTTTGGAGAATTACTTTAAAGTCTCACATAATATAATTAAATACTACAAAATCTATTAACAACTGAACAAAATAAAATGTGTCATCATTTTCTTTTATTAAGTTATCAATGAATTTTGTAGTATTTAAATGTCTTGTGTGAAACTAGTATATAATTCTGTCTCATTTCCCCACCTCTAGTACCAGCCTTGAACCCATCAAGCAGAACGATGACACCACTGACCCATGAAGCATTACAGATACATGTATATACTGAAATGTTCTCCTCAGCGCTTCCCGTAACGATTAAAAAAAAAAATACAGATTCACATTTATCATAAGCTACCACATGTTGTTGTTCATTTATTTAAAAAAAAAAAAACTACGGCATAAGAAATGGTTTACAACCCAAGTTAAATTGAGGAAGCTCAACAAAGACAGACTTCTTTGCGTAAGAGAAAAAACCAGGTAGACAAGTAGCTTTCCCGTTTCACCTGCAACAGCCGTTATGGATGTGAAGGCTGTGCTTGACACAACTCAGAGCTCAACATATGATGAAGAAGAACATCAACCCTTTGGCTGCGGGATTTGGTGCTGCACCAAAACAAGATAAGAAGAGCACCATCTGAGTCAACTTAAATAAAGATAGTTGACGGTGGTGCCAGCAGCAGAAGTATTGCCAGATATACATACCCAATACGTCGTCTTCGATGTCTTTCTCCTTCAACCTCCTACAAGATGACAAAACATAGCATCAGAAACTAAACAGAGGTTCAACAAGTTTCTGTAGAAATTGAAAATATATGCACACGTAAACTGTCTAGCCATCAAATTTAACAATGATATACTGACAGCATAAAAAACAATCCAAGATCGAGATTCAACACGAGCACGTGGAAAACCTTTAGTTAATAGTATACAAATGCATAACTGGCACAGAAACATACGACAAGCACTAGAGTTAGAGATTAACTACAAACCTTGTCATCTTCTTCTCTAGTATCAGCAGACGTCTCAAGCTCCATTTCAGCAAAGAATGCCTCCAAGACAAAAGCAACAACCTAAAATACAGGGAAAACATAATCACTTTTAACTTACTAAACATAAGCAAAGATAACACATGGACAATAAGGACAACTGTTTATACAACAAAAATGCAAACGAGTTAACTATGCAAAGAACTGGTATGTGTAGTACATGCCTACAAGAAAATTAGTGTAACTTCATGTAATTTAATAAGCTTTCTACTGTGGAATGTTAAGGCCGATATAATCATAAAGCATTTAATAAGTACAAAAATAAAGCTTACCAAATTCAAAAGCAGCAGAACAGTTATTAAGTAGAAGCTAATAAAGTAAAGATAGGTCCAAGAAGTTCCTGTTAATTCCTTGTAGCTCTGACATGGAAAACCACAAAATATGTGTCAGGTGTATACGATATAGGAAGTCATTTTCAAACAATGACACAACCATAAATCTAATACTGGTAAGTTAATAATGTGAATAAACATCCCAAAGTCTGACACTGACGTGCAATTGGATGTTCACAAGCATTTACAATGCACTGACTATTGGTGCTAGTGAAGGACTCAAACGACAAGGCCTTAAAATCAGGCAGAAAGAACACGCCCAAGAGTGGACCCTCTTCAGAGAGAACGATCCTTTCTAAGACAAAGGCAACTGCACTACAGTAGTCATTGTTGACCAAATGATGACAGCGAAAATGATAAAATTTGGTGAAATGGTACCCATACCTGCATCCATACATGCCAGTTTCCCATGACTAGCAAATTGAAAAGTGTAACCATTCCATTTGGATAATCATTAAAATTAAAGATCAGATAGCTATTATTGTTAAGAAGAATCATCCAAGAGAAAATGAAACCGATAGTTATTTCTAGAATGGATTAGCTACAACCGTTGAACATGATTTTATAGATGAGCAAAGGATACTCATTGTCAGAAAGGCCTGTTGTTTCCAATTTGGGATTTCCAGCATTGACAATTCCACCGAAGATCTACAAATTAAAACCACATAAAAAGTTGAATAATAGAACCCACTGATACCCCCACACATCAATTCAACAATAACAAACAAAGAGATGAAAGTAGACAGTATTTTCACAGGTCCATTGTTAGAGCAGTGAAGGAAAGCATTAGAAAAGAGAAGATAATTGCCATAGATAAGGTCAAAATAATCCTTAATTTGATTCACTAATGAATGACGAAAATTTCAATACTCAATTAAGGAAGCATCCCCCCAAAAAAAAAAACAGAAGGCACTTTATTCACCTGTACACCAAGGGAGCAATAAATACATAAGATACAAAATATGGTTCCAAGGTATGGCATCAAACTTGGTATGAGAGTTAGGAAGGTTGCCACAAAGGCTCGGTATTGCTGGACATGCATAAGGAGCCTTATCAACCTCAGCATTCTTGCTAAAAGAAGGTACCGAATCCTGTAAATAAACATATATTATCTTCAGGGCTTAGCAGGAAAGAAACTGAGTTCCTCTTCAAACTGTAAATTTTTACTTCGGCTAACAAGACATGCTATTACATATTTTAAGGTCAATTTAGCAAATTTATTGGAATTTTGTAGTAGGAATTCAGAAACAATAATGAGAAAAATACTAAAAACAAAACCTTTTTTCCCTCAATGTAATAATGACAACACATAATGTATTATTCAGAAACTCTGAGAAAGAGGAATAGCATAAACATCAATATAATTATCACAACTTCTGCAAACATCGTTGTATGAAGCAAAGAAAAGTGGATGCAAGATATTATCATGAGTTCAAATTACAGCTAGGTACAGAACCTTTTCCTCTGCTCATTTTATTTTGGTCATAAAATAGCTTATTTAGCATTTACTCAATTCACCTCATATACTGGCAATCCTTCACAGGCCATCCACATAACTATCATGCATCTTTAACTGTCATTAGATGCCATTCACATTGATCCATATATTCAGACTAGATTCGGGGCATGTGATGAAGGGGACAAGTTCATCTATAATGTCTTAATATTCAGAATGAAAGGTTAAGGTATAAAATACTTAAAATATTGTGAAAACATAACTATTGGTCTTTATAGTTTTAACATGTTCTGGTACAAGTCCCTATAGTTTTTTTCATCGCTTCAAGTCCCTCTAGTGTATCCAATATGCAACGTTAATCCCTCGATTTTTAAATATACCTATAAAGATGATGAGATAGCACTGATGGTATTAAATATGTGGACCTGTAACTAATGCCGTTAAACCATCTAAAAGTGGAATTATGATTCAACAGATTAACACCGTTGTCCACACCATTCTGTTTCAAGCTTCAAATGTCAATTTATTGAATCATAATTCCACCTCATCACAAAGATCAATGACGTTAATCACATGTCAGCATATTTAACATCGTTAGCACCACCTCATTGTTCTTCTAGACATATTTAAAAATAGAGAGAATAACATTATAGATGAGATAAACTAGAGGGACCTCCAGCAATGAAAAAACCCTGCAGTGACCTCTACCAAAACAAGAAAAAATTATAAGGACCAATAATTGCATTTTCCCTAAAATATTTTATGAATTTAAACATATAAAAAATTAACGCAAACCATCAATTAGTCTATTGTGGTATAAGGGAATTAGTCTTTTTATAATCATTTTATAAGAAAAAAATTGTCACATCAATAACAATAATGAAAAAAATTCTAGAAAAAATTATCAAGAATTTAAGAAAGTTCAAATTTAATTAACTCATAATGTTGCCAAATTGAAAAATGATGACATCCAATAATCAGCTTATACTTATATATAGGTATTAATAAAGAAAATAAAAAAAAATTAAGAAATGCAATCTATGGATCATATATCTTTAAATCTCAGTCAATAGATCAATAGAATAATGCAATAGCATGACATGCATTAGACTGAGACTGTATTCCGTGAATCCTCAGAAGTGCAACATTAGTCATTATGTTTGACCAATTGAAATGCACCACTACTGTAGACCCCAAAAAAAAAAACAAATAGCACATTTCAAAGTAAAAAAGTCCATACCATTCTCCATTTGAGAAAAAGATCAGCCCATCAGGTGTAACAAAAGTCATAGTTTCCCCGATGACTGCAAAAGTTTGAATCATTAGTCAGAACACCATGAAATAGCCTTAGAACAAGGTTTTACCCCACATAACATCAAAATAGAAGGCCGCAAAACGACTTCAATGGGTGGGTCATGAACACATGGTAAAAAATTGCAGATGCCGAAGAGTAAAATTATCCCCAATATTTAATAAGAAATTCAGAGAATATGCTAATAAAATCAGATAATATTTAAAGAAGCAAAAAACTCCAGATAATTAGAAGCCTACCAATTATCCATGTGATCATAAAATCAAAGCAATTTTGACCATCCCGCCAATAATTCTCAAATCCATATGAATAAACTTTTAAAGCCATTTCTATTACATATATCCACCCTGTAGTACAGCAAGGAAACAATCAACAGTATGTAAACCAAAAGCTGCACTGTAACATATAATGTACGACATTGAATTTGAGCTAATAAGTATCAAAGAAAAATTATTCGAATTAGCCCACATAAATGTAGAGTCTTCTGAAAAAATCATTTGGACAGCAGGGAGTGACATGCAGGTAAGTTACAAAAATTATTAACTCAATTTAATAGCTCAACATGGATTGCAGAAATAGATAATGAACCCAACAACAAGAAGATACTCCCTCCGGAGGACAATATAAGTCATAATTAACTAATTCACGATTTACGAATAATGTTAGTTGAAACCTTAGATTTTCTTAAAAATGTCCATATCTTTTCATTTATGCCATCATTAAATGCCTTATATAAAAGCCTTGATAGTTGATAATAGTAATTAAAATTTCAGTACATGATTTTTTCAAAAAGAGTAATAAATAAAGGGCATAGTTGGAAAAACAAATATAAAAGTTATCCAATGTCCTATATTTGGACTAGGTAAGGTTTTTCAAAAGATGCCTTATATTGTGGTCCGACGAGAGTACACTATTTCATCCACTTACCAAAAACAAACTCAACCCCTTGCCACACCTTTTGAGCAGAATTATTTTGTAGATCAAGCTGTAATGTTGCATACGAAGAAAGATAAATTAACAAAATGCTTGTGAAGATCAAAAAAGAATAGAAGCAACAAAATAATACAAAATCTAGGTGGGAAGAGATATGTATGACACTAACATAAACAACATATTACTTCTCTGTTACATTATGTAAATATGATGCTTCAAAAATAAAGGATTGAGGTGAATTTTCTGAAAATACTTAATAACATTCAACAAACACATGTTCTTTTTCTAACTTATAATGATAATTTAATCCATCGATGGAGCATATGATGCAAGGAGAGCATCTCAAATAATTCATTAGCATCCAGGGACAACAATGGTTGCTACTACATTTGTCAAACATCACCTACCAGAGTATCAGTAAGATAATTGATAACAAATGAAAAGCAACAAATCATTGAAGGATACCTCTGACAAATATGGTAAATATAGGATACCATGTATTATTAGAGACTAAATGTTTTCCTCGAATAGTGTTTCCTCAATCTCCTCTTTTTTGCTTTCTTTCTTTTTTTTTTTTATTACTGGATTCCAACCTAAATGCTTAAGATTCAGTTAAATGGTTCTTTGACATAATAGATTTTGAACCCCCCCTATCTCACATCAAACAAGAGTCAATACTAAATTTAAAATCAGTTGGTGACAAGAATAAAGGGATCCAGCAAAATGTTTTTTTTTTTTTTTGGGGGGGGGGGGGAACCAGCAAGATCCTGTTTGCTTGGGCCAAATAAGCCAATGTATTCAATTATTAACATGCTATAAGGTATAATATACCATACCGTTGTCTCAATTACAACAGCTATCAGATTCAATATAAGAATGAAGGATATTAGCAATCCAAACTTGGGGCACCGCACAAAGGCTTTCAACTTCTTGGAGATAGAAGCATGGTAGAATGAAAAGTAATCAAAGTAAGATGGCTGCAATAAGAACAGAAAAAAATTAGATTCTGCACATGAGCTTCCAAATGTTCTAGCATTATCTGAACTTACACTATCCTCCTTCTGGAACTTTAAAGCAATGGCATTGCAAATATCAGCAAATTCATCCTTGTTGATCTGAAATTAAAAAAGTTGAATAGCGTTGAAAATTTCAGGATCAAAAATATAAATCAAAATGTTATATTTTGGAGAGGAAAAAAAAAGAAAAAGAAAATTCAAAATGTTATGTGAAATCTGTTTAAAATGACAGTGAAACGTCAACTCTATATTACTGGCCAAGTGTACACATTAAGATCATGTGCAAAGACAGGTTTTGGAAACCTATAAGCACAGATGCAATTATACATTATCGTTTGAGATATGCAGGTTCAAGCAACAGGGAACACCATATTTAATCTACACAATCACATGCATAAAAAGTTGCATCTGAAAAACATAAAAGAAAAGCTTGCAGACAAAACGCACCTTTACATCATGACTATCGTCCAGCTCATCAAATATCAACTCAAATTCTTCCCGGGAAATATTTGGCAAAGTCCTAATAAAGACAGATAAGTTCATGCTTTGACATTCACAAGGTGGAAGGAAGATTATAGAAAGATACAAAGTTAGGACCAAAATAGTAAGATCAGCTTATATTGTCTCGATCCAAGAAATTAGGTAACACCACTTTGCCAGAAAAGAAATTGCAGTAATGAGCAACTACCAGTTACAATAGTGAAATGCAGAAAATATGCCAAACAGGTGGTTCCCAGACTACCTCTGTATGAAGTATTGGTGCAAAATTGCATTTATATGCCCAATAATTGGACACACCTGCCTCTTTCTCCTTAAAGGGAAAAGGTTCACCATCTTCCTATATTATTGTGACTGAAAGTATGCGTTTGTGTGTTTGTGTGTTTAGCACCAGAGGACAAAGGGGGGAAGGGAGGGGCATAAGGATGATGAGTGACCTGATTAACAATAGAATTCCTTTATCGGCTAAAATAAAACTAGAGTTTTTTAACCTCCAAAAGAATATGACTTGCTCAAAGGACGGGCTGAGTGATAGCTCAGCAATTGTTTCAAGTTTTCACAAAGCAATCTAGTTTAAGGATTTCTAAAGCTATTAACTGAAAATATTGCAATGAACTGGAAACTTGGCAGCTGTTGTCACATCTAAGTAACTTGCATTGGAAGCCAAGGAATCATTTAAGGTAAGACAGTGTTTGTAAGTGCCCTTGTACTGTAACCTTGATGTTCTCTCTTGCCTACGGTCAGTAAAGTCAGATGAGCAGTTTATACGTTCTGAAACTTGACTTCTGACTCTCTATATCTCAAGTTAAATTATGAAGATCTGGATAACCCTCTACATATGCGCTTCCATTGAGAGTTTTTTTTCCCCCTTCTTTTGAAAAAGCAGAGGAACCCGCATAAAAGTGAATCATGAATAATAGCAAAAAAAAAAAAAAACATCTCTTTCATGTTAATAAATATATGGGAATTTGGGAACATTTTTAACTGAAACTGTCATGAGCAAGCAACAAATGAATACTATGATAAATCTGAAAGAATATTGAACACAAGTAAACAAAGTAATACCTGTACTTGTTCAGCTCCTGAAAGAGTTCAATACATTGGTCTTTGTTAAGATACCCAACATGCTGCGAGCACAAAAATGAATCTCACGAAGCTTTAGAATCAACACTAATGAGTTGCATATAATCACAAAAGGAACCTTTCCTAAGCATAGAAACCAAGTGATAGTCAGTGTCACATTTTGAAAGGAAAAAATATAAGGTCAAATTAGAAATGATTAAATGACCTATGAGAAAATGATCACATCTCTTGCTTCCCCTTAGTGTTCTATTCATGGTTGTTTTAAGAACGTCTCTTTGACCAAATTGAATAGGCATAGGATGGCATTGTTATTTTCTTAAGTTCAATTTCTTTTCATTGCCTTCTCTTTCCCCTTCCACTTCCGTTTTATTCTAAAGGAGGCTAACTTATCCTCCTCTCGCAATTCTTGTCCCATCTAATGAAGCTGCTGTCACATTGTCTGCATATTCTTGACAGTACACATGATAGTACAGCACCAAGCAGCCAGATCATTATTATGGACAATGTATTTACATCCTAAGCCTAGAGCACTTTTGAACTTCCGTGAGTTCAGATTCAATCTTAGTCCCAGTTAGTTCATGACTTCTTGTAAAGATTTATCAGTCTTTTTACTGCTAATTTTTATACAGACGCTTACTTAGTTCTTTCCTTTCCCAAATAAATTAACTGCACCCTCGGAGATTATGTTATTCTGAGTTTCAGGGGAAAAAATGCATTCCATAATCTTCTCCATAACTTTGAAGGAAGAGCAAAAACAAAGATCCTTAAGGATGCACAAGGACATCAAAGGAAGAAAAACCACAGAAAGACAGAAGGGCCAGAAACTTATATATAGACGGCAAGGCACATCACAAATGATAACAGTAATAATGGAATGATAACAGTAATAATGGAATGAATGAATAAACACACAGACATGCACGTGCAGGTGCACCTGCTTGCAATTTGTACAATTTATATATATATAGTTTTGTTCATACTGGACCATGACCAATAACAACAATAGCAAGCCTTATCCAACTAAGTGGGGTCGGCTACATGGATTATATGACGCCATTGTGCTCTATCATTCAGATCATGACCAACAAACCAAAATAAAATAAGCTTACATTATCATCTAACAGATCAAATGCTTTCCCCAACATATTTCTTCTCATTTGATCCATCTCAAAAACTTGTTTTGCAAGCTGCAAAAATAGTAGTATATTCAAGAGCCATCAGCTGTCATTTTAATTTTCTTTAGAGAGTATATAAATAATATACAGTTAAAACTCTTCTACATTCCGAGTAAAATTCCAATGAGTAACTATATGAGAAAATAGCAACAACATGATGCAATATTTACAATTTTTTAGTACTGGGTACCTCACTCTTGAAACTGTCATAAACAACGGCAAGGACCAAATTCGTGACAAAGTAGACCCCCAACAGCACAAAGAGAACAAAAAACAGGCAGTACCAACGTGAAGCCCTAAAAAAGCCCACAATTCAATGAAATTCAGAGCAGTAATTACTTGGGATAAACTTAACAGGATAAGAGATATCCTACACTATAATTATTTCATCTCTACCGACAATGATAACATTTTTTTATTCAATAAAAATGTTGCGGTCAACTTACATGCCAATATAATAACTAATCTACAATTTCTCATGAAAGTAAGCCCTTGTAAAATTTGCAAATGCCTCAAAAGAAAAATATCTTAAACAATATAATAATTGATCTATGAATTCTCATGAAAGTAAGCCCCCATGAAAATTTGCAAAAGCCTTAGAGAATAATACAGACATGATTATGATATATAGAAACAAAGACTTCCACAATCAAATCCAACATAAAAAAACGAAACATCCAAATATATTTAAAGCAGTTAAAAATACTACATCACTTAGACCTAACATTTTTCGGCAGATTATGACAAAAATGGAAATTTAAAAAAATTTTCAACATCTTACTTGTATGCAGGAATCCAAACATCTGGATTATTGGATGTGGTAAATAAAACAAACATCTGATACAATGTGGTGCCATAGGAAGTGAATACTATTTTCCCCTGTTGAGTATCTTCAAACATCACATAGGCCACCCAACTTGAGAAAAGAAGAAACAGAAGCCCCAAGGCCTGCAATTCATGAGAATTAGACAGAATGACAGAATGAAGTATTGGTAGAGAAAAATGACTTTTCCAAAAGAAATAATCTAAAAAAGTTGTAAACAAGTGTGACTCGATACATCTTTTATGCAACATGGACTAAAACACTTTTCAAAACTACCACTATTGCATATGGGAAAAGAAAAGAGCTAGGAACGGAGGTAAGACAGTAAACAAACCAGGACATTCAGGTATGTGCCAAGCATTCCAGCCAAGATGGTAAGGGTTGCTCGTAATTCCCTAAAATTTAATGTGTTAGATTATTTCAAACAAAGGAGCCGCAAGGGCATTTTCATTTTGTCCAAATATGGAAGAGTTCACAATGCATGTGAAACATGATAAGTGAAGTGATAAAGTACTAAATAATAACTGCAAGGATATAACATGACGTCTGATCTTACAGTGCCAACTATTCTAACCTTCTCTTTTGTTGAAAATTGTGCCCTAGGACCATCATTATACTATGAACATTGTTATTTAATGAATTTTTTTTTGTTATCATATTAATTGTATGTTCACTATGATAATTGTATCCTTAAATAAACTATAGTAATTGTCATAAATATCCCTAATCAGTCATATATGAGGAATGATAGATAATACAACAATAATATGACTTTAATTAGTTATAGAGATATAAATCAAAGTCAGAGACATTTGAAAGGGTACAAGGTGCTAGACTGACCCATTATGAGAAAACTGCATGGTACAAATCATAAGATTATCTCATATGTAACCATATTACTAAGCTCTTTGATCTAAGATCATTATGAATTCTTACATGATGACCACTAAACTTTACCTAGTCAAAAGTCACCTTTAATCGGGTGATCATAAAGGCTATAATTGAGTTCTAGTGATATTCATGAAGAGAAATATGAGTGATCAAGATGGAATTTGTCCCTTACATTAATTGAGAAATATTACTCATCAAGGAGTCCAATGATATCTCAATCCAATAATATCTCTCAATTAATATGAGAAAGCTGATCTGCATTGTCAGCTCCTAAGATCCCTCTATTGGGCTATGATATTACAGTAATACCAACAGATCGACTCCCTCTACTAGACTCTAATATTACGGTAGAGGGAGCCGATATGCATTGTTAGCTCTTGAAATCCAGACACTTAAAGAAAACTTGAGAAGTACGACGCTAGAAAAGGGACGACGCTAGAAAAGGGATTTCTTGTATCCACTTTGACTTAAACGAATTTGATCGGTCCACGATCGCGATTGGGATTTAAATTTTAGTTTCTGTTGCACCTCCTAATCCAACACCTTTCCCTTTGATCTTTCAGTTAAGTAAAAGGTAGTAAACAAAGCCACAGGGACTCAAAGAAAAGGGGGAGATTTTCAAGTTTTAATACTTCTTTATGTTGTGAAATATTATCATTTTTCCTCCATTTCAAATGATGTGTCAGCAACAGAGACCTCTGAATCTGATCTAGGAAATTCCAAATCTTTTGAAATTTTGTCACCTATATTTCCAAACATCAGTATCAATGAGGGTAAAATAGAGTTGCCAAGAAAACAAGATATCAAAGAAGATACAGATGAAATTATTTAGTAAGAAAATTTAGGGCTCATTTGGCAATCTGTTCCGAGAACAGTTTTCTATTCTCCAAAACAAAACAAAAAATAAAAAAAAATTGTTTAGTAGAGTGTTTTCAAAAAATGTTTTAGAGAACAAAAAAAAACCAAATTTGTTCTGGAGAATAAAAACAAAAACATCTTTTAGTTGTTGTAGGATTATTGCTCTGGAGAACAAAAGAAAATGCAAAAAATATTTGTTTTCATTATTTTTTCTTTTTTGTTCCCTGAACTGTGTTTACAAAACACCAGTTCTCAAAATAATTAAACAAAAACAATTTCAAACAAGCCCATAATTATCTATGAGGTGCTGACTCTTTTTCAACCAATACTGCCATTGTTTAATTTCTCTATGTCTGAGATGTTTGGTAGGCCAAGGAAAATTAAAATATTGTCAACAAAGGTCACTTTTCACAATCAACAACCACCAGCAGGAGATGGATGTTAATTAGCGCAGAAGATGGAGATAAACAAAAAAGTCATGTATTCTACCTTCTACTGAAATCTTGGTCTTTTTTATTATTTTCCAGTTATGTTTTGAACAAATAATAATTTCTTGCATGAATTTTTTGATTTCAGACAAAGCAATGATTGTGAAATTTTCATACAGAGGTTTGAAAGGAGTATTCTGAAAAATTTCTTTGGGGGGGAAAGGGGGTCATGTAAAAATACCTAATATGTAAAATGAAAAGAAGAACCCTGACATAAGGTGCAAATCTGACAGGTAGAGAATAAAAAGTCACTGGCGACAAATACACAGCCTAAACCACCATATCAGCAGCCAGAACTAACAGACACAACACCTGTATATACCAACAATCATTTTATTAGTAGATAAGAAAGTATATTAAATAATAGAGCTTAGAGAAAAGATAATCTTAAAACGACGTGATCTTGCCCCCTCCATTTTAGACAAGTCCACGGACATGCACACAATAAGGTCCAGATTTGAAGTAAGAGCAATATACAAAATAACATAAGCACAGAGTAACAACATGCATTGCATTAAGCATATGAGCTGTTCATTATTGTTGGTGTTGGTCATTACTCTTTGTTTCATAATTGCCTCTCCCACTACTACTACTAATGTCATGTTGTCATAACTATAAAATATTGTCATTAGTGCATTATGAAAGTTTTAATTTACTTACCATATTGCTTTCCAAGGATATCTATCCTCTTCCCTCCAATCGTTTCACAGTCCATGTTTTTTTTTTCCTTTTTTGAACTAATGTAAGAACCATTTGTAGCTCTAAGTTAGAGCCCGCATTATAACTACATATAATATAGAAAAACTTTATTAGGTTCCAAATTTGTATATGTTGTGTCCTTAGGTTGGGCAATAACTAACTTGGAAGCAATTATAGAGTAGACTTAAAATAGGATCTGCTACAAAAAGATTTAGATATAAAATTATTATCATTTTTGTTCCACAATATAATGTGATTCTAGTATCAGGGTAATATCTAAGGATACAGCATGTCCACTAAATTCTGGAAACAGAAACAGCTAATGCTGCCTCAGATTTGCTACCATTCAGCAGATTTT